CGGTGGCAGGTGAGGGTCCCACATGGCGCGGCAGACCTCTCCTGTCTTGCCCGCTGCTCCCCTCGGCAGTGTATTTCGTCAGTCTGCCTGTTCTGTTCCCCACTCTGTCTCTGGTAAATCCTCTCACCCTCCAGCACATCTGGCCTGTACCCTGGTTCTTGTGTAAAGGAATAAATAAATCTTTAAAAAAAAAGACTTCGAAACCAAAATCTTTCAAGGACATGACAAGAAAGGAAAATTACAGCCTAATAATATGGACATAGATATAAAAATATGGTAAATGGAGTTCACCATTGTGTAATTATAAGTTGGGGCCAAGTTGGGTTTATTCCAAGAATGTCTGGTTGGTTTACTACTAGAAAATCAAATAATGGAATTTAATATGTTAAGAGATAAAAGGAAAAGTCTATGATCACTTTAGAATGTATGTAAAAAGCATTTAAAGAAATTTAACATCCATTTAAAAATTTTTAGTAAATTAAGAATGAAAGGAAACAGCTTCAATATGATCAATAGTATCTACCATAAACCTACAGCAAGTGTCATACTTCATATCGGATTGTTGAAAGTGGGCATCTTCAGTTCAGGATAGGACAGGATAGTAAAGGATAGGACAGAGATGTCCTATCTCACCACTCTTTGTATGCTAGGTCCTAGCCAATGCAGTAAGACAAGAAAGAGAAATAAAATGTATGTGGATTGGAAATCAAGAAACAGGACTGCCATTACTTTCAGATAATATGTGTGTGTGCAGAAAATTCTAAAGAAAATACAGATAAAAATTTACAATCATTATGAGAGATTAGCAAATCAATATCAAAAAACCAATTATACTTCTCCATACCATCAATGAAATGAAATTGAAACAAATATTGCATTTATAATAGCACACACAAAAAATCAATCAAATGCCTCGAACGAAATCAGACAAAAGATCTACAAAACCTCAAAGGAAACTTTCAAAGCTTTATTGACAATGGGAACATTTGTGAGGGTATGGAGCAACAGAAACTAGCAGACACTAATCTTGGAAGTGGCACTTGGTACATTTTTGGTAGATAGTTTGGTGACCTCTAGTAAAGTTAAAAATACCCATGTTCTATGAGCCAGCAATTCTACTCCTCCAAATATACCTACCCTATGTGTGCACAAGAAAACAGAAAGATGTTCATAGCAACATTTTTCATAATTGCCCCAAACTGAAAAAAAAAACCCAAATACCCATCAACAGTAGAACAGTGAGAACTTCCTTGGAAATGAATAGAGTGGAATGCTGTAATCCAACACTGAACATGATGAAATAATGCTACATACAGCAAAGCTGAATCTCAGAATTGCAAGGGAAATTACAATTATAGAGGACACACTGCATTATAGTTGTATTTATCTAAAGTTTGAAAACAGAACTCTAGTATTTGGCTCTAAAGAAAAGCCAAAAGTAATAGCTTTATAACAGTTTCAAAATGGCTTCCTTTAAGGGAAAGCAAAGAAGTGTGTCTAGGCCCAGACTCACTGGAATTTCTGATGTTCTATTTCTTGATCTTGGTGGAGGTTTGTTTTATAATAACTTGTTAAGCTGCATATTTGCATTTTCTATTTTTTTCTCCTTAAGTAAGAATGTTTCTGAATGTGGAGATAATACTAGAAGTGATCTCAGGGTTTATTGAGAGGATGAAGTGTAACCATGTAGAACTCTTACAATATGCCTGGCACTTTGGCGGATCTTAATAAATGTCAGCTATCTAAACACAATAAAAGTTGGCTACAGTTGTTTTTCTACTTTGTTTCCATTATTTCTCAGTGTGTTCTTTGTCTTTTTGTCTTTCATTTCTCTTAATGCTGTCTTCTGTGTTACTGGATTTTCCTTTTTTTTTTTTTTAAGATTTATTTATTTATGCATACAGGCACTGGGGTAGGCCAGAGGTGCAGGGGGTGAGAGGATTCACCAGTGACAGAGTGGGAACAGAACAGGCAGATTGACCGAAGTATACTGCTGAGGGGAGCAGCAGATGAGTCAGGAGAGGTCTGCTGTGCTATGTGGGTGGCTCCCTGCCTGGGGAGCGAACTTGTGATGCAGAGGCTGCTGACAGCTTCATAGGTTGCGTCTTAACCCCTTGTGCCACCAGGGAGGCCCTGTTACTGGCTTTTCTTTTAGAATTTCTTTCACCAATCTCACCCATAGGAAGACCTCTCCAATCCAGAGATTAATAAATACGTTCTTGCAATTTGAAGAGGTTGCTTTTGAACATGCAGCTCTCTTCACTCCTTTCACAATGACAAAATATATCATTAAAGGCGAATTAGTACACCCTTGCATAAAAATCTACATTTATTTCTCCGATTGATCTGGAAGTCATATTTAATGTCATAGGAGAAAGCAAACATCTCCTTTTCCATCAGGTAATGGAGTTGCCCTAGCACCACTAATTCAACAGTTCATTCCTCCCCCACTGACATCTGCTGCTGTCTCCTCTTGTATGTTAAATACACAAGGATTTGCACCTAAAGCAGACCGGATATAACCAGATGCTTGAATGGAATGTGATAATGCTACTGAGGTGGCCAGGGGGCTGATGGGGAGGGGGAATATTACCAGGCAGCAGGAAGGCTAGCTGCCACCCTAAGGGAAGAAAGGGAGAGAAAGCTCTTCTCTATTAAACAAGTAAGTGTTCTTTAAAGAGTCCCTCCTGGTGTGTGACACACAGATATTTGTTCCTGTGATGTTTGCCCGGTGGCTTCATGTGTACAGACCTCTGTAACAGTACCTACACCTTTGGTGCTGTCTACATTGGCGCTGATCCCAGTAACGATTATCACACAGGCTTTGGAGCCAGTAGGCCCCGCATCTCATCCCGGGATTCATCCCTAAACAGCTGCATGACTCTAGGTAGTTTTCTCATTTTCTAGCCTGTTTCCTTATCTGAAATGTGGCGATTACAGTAATTAAGTTCCTAGTAAATTAGAAAGTAACAGTAACAATTACACCTGTTATGAGTATTAAAGAGCTACTGCAAGAGCAGAGCAGAGTGCCTGGTACACTGGACTTTCAATAATCACAGTTGTAGTGATATTAATTATGTTGCCATTGTGGAAGGAACAGGAAGAGAAGATTCAGCAAAGGCAACTGAGAAACACGCACCTAAAAGATCTGAGATGGGGGAATTTTGAGGGGTGTATCAGGAAAACCAAGGGTAAGCGATACTTAGAAGGAGGGAGATAAGGCAAAAGCAAGTCATTCAATGGCTAATTTCTAAGAGGAGAGTCATTTGAATCTCATACCAACAAAAATGGCCCAATTTGGGAAGGGGCCGTTACAAGACTGTCCTTTGGGCTGATAACTTACCTCTCTCTCCTTCCTAATTACAGAGAAAGCTGCTGCCCACTTTCTACTTACCTTTTTCTCATACAGTGTGGATGGCAGTGGTCGTTGCGTCCTCTTCCCTGCCCTCCTTCCCCTCAGCAAACAGCTCTGTGCTTCCTCTCCTGGACCCACCATCTCCCTCTGAAGTACACCCTGTCCTCAACCCAGGGGAGCCCCATTTCTTTTCCAACAAATTCCCTCTGATCTGCATTCTTTTCACTCTACTGACTGAAATCGCCTCCCCCCCCACACAAACTTGTCCTACTCACATAGATAGGAACTGATATGCCAGGAGGAACTGGGGACCCTCAGAGACTGAGGTCACAATTCATTTTTTATCACCCTCCAAGTTGAGGCCAAGAGATTGGGCAGGAGCAGGTGCCCAGGAGCTCCTGTGTTCTCTCTTCCCTAGGAAAGCCCTCTTCTAAAAGGCAGTGTAGATATTCTGTTCCCCATATTTCTTTCCTCCCCTGTCCTGGTACCCAGATTGCTTTTCATGCTTCCCTGTCATTCCCATTTCGTGGATTGGCGCAAGGTCACTTGGGAGTCCCTGGGAGTCCTCTGGCATATAGCTAGGGTGAGGTTTGGGGGAAGCTTAGGCGCCTGGGCAGCAGCTTTTTCTGTAATTAGGAAGGAGGGAGAGGGAAGTTATCAGCCCAAAGGACAGTCTTGTAACTGCCCCTTCCCAAATTGAACAGAAATGGAGCCCCTGAAATAATCCTTCCTTGACACTGGGTAGATTCTTGGAAACTGACATTACGCCAAAGGACACATACCAATCTTATTTCAAGGCTGGCCAGGATTAGTTGTTTCGTGGTGGTTTTTCTTATTAACGTATAAAAAAATGAAGTTATTTGACTAACGGCTTTATCCATTTTCGCCCCCACCCCTGCTCCCCCACATTAGATCTCTCAGGATGCATCAGTAGAGAAAGCACCGGGACATTAACTAGTGGGTGGAATTAACTATGACAGATCAGTTGTAATAAGGGGCTCTTTATCATATTCCTGCCAAGTCAGCTCCCTTTCCCTCATGTGTAAATGAAACTGATAACACCACCACAGAACTAATCCCTCTCCTATCAACGTTTCTTTGTTGTTTTTTAAACTTTATTTGCCCTCTATATTCCTAAAAGCACTGCCACACATAGAGGCTTATATATACTCATTGACGGAGACGTTCACAACATACAAATTTGGTGAAAAAAGTACACAGTATAGAACAGCATGTGTATTTGATCACTTATATCTAAACATCTTTCTATCTGCATACACAGAGATGGGAAAATATCTAGAAACACATTTGTCAAAGGGCTGACAGTGGTTATACATGGGTAGTGAGGTTCAGATAATTTGTACTTCAATTTTTGTATTTTCCTTTCATTTTTGAGGCATAAGGGAGTTATATTCTTTTCATAAAGAGAATAAAATCATAAATTCGCACACACAGAAGAGGAAGATGAAAGAGGTTGCAGGAGCAGGGATCAGGCTATTCTCTCCACTTTGCTGGTATCCAATACCCCTTCCCCTTCCCCTTCCCCAGTGAAAGCCACTTTGTGAATTCAGGCAGGCAGAAGCCTACGGCCTCCCCCGCTTTTGTTTTCCACATCACTAGTCTCTGAATGCAGGTAAGGGTTCACTTAGGGCTGGGTTTCGAAAGTGTGACTCTGTGAGTTGGAGGGGTAACTGTGTTGGCCAGGGACCTTTTTGACCCCACCTCCCCCTGTGTCAGCTCCCTCAAGATAATGATCAGATTCTCAAACACCTGGGCCCTGTTGTTCTCGTTGGCACAGGTTTTGAGTGGCCCTCCCCACCACAACAGAAATAGTGAGTTGTGTGTTTTTGCCTCCTGCATCTAAAAGTCTTCCTAGGACCATTATTTTTATAGCCAGAATCCCCACTGGTGGAAGGAGATGGACCACCAGAACTGGGTGACCAGTATTTGATCCTACATCTGGGGGAGGGACACCTAGAGATGTAACTGGAGGGCCGGAGAGACACCGGGGTCACATCTTCACCCAAGTCACCCAAGGTATCATCTATCTCCATCACATGACAGCACTGCTGATCAGGGCTGGCTGGAGCCCCTGAAATGCCACAAGGCTGGTTGCCTTCTCCATGATTAGCTCAGATCTTTTGTAGTTCATAAAAGGGTCACCCCAATCCTTTTCCTCCCTTATCATCTCAATTAACTCCAGGAAATTGGGAAGAGGCTGCTGCTCATTGGCATACATCCCAAGAAGACACTCCAGCCTGATGTTCAGGTCCCCCACTCAGCTCAGGCCCTAAAAGCAGCTGTTGTGGGCAAGTCTGGATTGTATTTTTCTCAACTCTGACCCTGCCTGAGTAGCACTCCGGAGCTACATGTCTAAAGGGATTATATACAGGGAGACTTTCTCTATGAAATGTCCCACTGCTTTCAGACTCCCCAAACACCAATTTCATCAGGAGCAAGACATTTGCCCCACTTAGGTTGGGGTTGGCCTCCTGGGGCAAGTGCATGTCCTTCCCCCCAAACACCGCCCCCCCCCAGCCCTTGAAGGTACTGGGAAAGTGTTACATCAAGGGCTTGAGCTTTTCCTCTTCAGATATGTTCTGATCTGGCAGGACCCCACTGACTTGGGCCAGGCAGTTTTCTGTTTCGCCCCCTTGGGCTGGCACCACCCTGCGCAAGAACAACTTCACATATCTTTCCAAGTCATGTTGACCCTTAAAGGCCCAAGACTGCTCTCCAGGGACCTCCACAAGGAAAGGGGCCTCGGAGGCACGGGTTCATTCTGCCACCACCTACTACCATGTGTGCAATGAAGCTAGCCATGACTGATGATGACCGTCTCTGAATATAACAAGATGCTTAGACTTTTTAAGAAAAGCTCAATCTGCAGGAGAAATCACCAAAGCAATCTTCCAGGTTCTGCCTTCTTTGTGTCTCAGCGGGAACTGTAAGGAAAAGGGGAAAAAGGTCAATAAGGAAGGGACAGGGACGGCAGGGAGGCAGTCTGAAGTTGCTTTCTCTACCTTCCTGAACACCCTGCAGTGCACAACGTATTTGCCCAGTTTCCTAAAAGTGCCCTGCAGGGAAGCGGCAAATACAACCTCTGGGAGCTAGCGGGGTCCCTATGCTAGCAGGGCATTTTTTTAGAGCCACATCCTCCCCTCTGGCCAGTCCCCCAGGAAGGAGTGAAACTGTTGCTTTGAAGTCTAGGTGAAATCGTGGGTCAGGCGATTTGGGATCTCAAAATAGAGTGCCAGGGGCAATTCTAAGGAGGTTCGTGGGAAGGAATAAAATCTCCATGAAACTCAGGGTCTCAGGTCTCACACACACCCTTTTCAACGTTACCCCCGTTATTTCTCAGATTCATACAGGAGCTCGGAAACAAGTGTGCGCCTTCATTGCACTTCCAACCCCTGCAACAGGTCCTCAGGACGAAGCTCGCTCCCCGGCTGGGTTGAACTGGGTCCACCTTGAGTTGTCGATCCCAGTCTTCCGCGGCGCCCAGACTGCACGATCGTGGAGGCCACGGCTGGAAAAGTCAGAAGCAGCTTCATCCCTCCTCTCCACCAGCTCCGCTTGTAACCAGGCGGAATGTTTCCTTCCCACATTCTTAATACAAGCCAAAGGGACTCCCCTCTCCAATCACCTTTCCTCCGGAAACCGTCGGCTTACCAGGTCTGCAATCAGACGCACAGAAGCGCAGCTGGGGTTGCTCTTTGGTGGTCTGCCACGGAGAAAGAGAACAGGTGTGGGACACGCACGCCCACACATCCCTTCCCGCGAAGAGACGACAGGATGCAAAGGGGCTGAAGGCAGATAGCTGGCTATTCCCACCCCCTTGCTCCCTGATCATACCCCAGAAAGCGCCCCCTCTCCGCACAGGCAGATCTTACCCATCTGGCTGCACGTTCTCCCTCAGCGCAGCCGGGTCACGGCCCTCTTTCCCCGGCTTTCGTTCCGGATTCCCCCAGCGGGGAGCAGCCCATCTTGGGGTGGCTCCCCCTCCTCCGCCGGCGTCCGGTCGTCGCGCTCCGGATCTTCGTCCGCGCTGGGCTGGTGGGCCGCAGAGGCTCGGGCATTGACCACCGCGGGGGCCGCTTCCGGCCTCCGAGGCCCTGCCAGGGGAAAGGATGATGCCGTCTCGGCCGCTAAGCGACCAGGGCCGCGAGATGGAGCAGCTCCGCGCGCCAACCCCGCGAAGGGTAACGGAGCGCAGGCCGCGCGGTTCCCACGGCAGCGGCGAGCGACCCCGCCCGCCCAGCCGCCGCTTCTAGCCTCGGCCCATTGAGACAAAAGAGCGTGACGAGCGGGTCGGCGCGGCCAATCAGCGGGGCGCGGGGGCGGCTCCCGAGCAGCCCCGCGCCTCGAGGCCATTGCTGGCAAAAGGGGGGAGCCGGCTGCCGGGGGCTGCGGCACACAGGTGCGGGAGCCGGCGCGGTGTCAAGTGCACCTCGGACGCACGGACCCCCGCGGATTCGCATTTTGCTCGTGAGTATCCTGATCCCCCGCGCTCCCGGCCCCTCTACCCCCCGCTTCCCCGTCACCCTCTCTCCTTCCGCCTGGGCTCTCCTTTGCCCTTTGAGACCGGATGCCTTAAACACGAGGTGGGACAGAAATGAAGTGAACAATAAGAGTTCCTCACCTTGGCCGAGCGGGGACTGGGGAAAGAGCATTTCTCGAGCGCTTTGTGCGTGCAGATGCGCTTGCACCGACATCTCGGTTCTCCCCGGCAGCCGGCTGAAGGCGTGGCCGCACGCCCATTTAACGGACAGGGGGACTTTAGCACTGAGGCTGTCCGGGTACGAAGTGCAGCGCTAAGAGCACCCCCCCCCCAAGTCTCCGCGGTTGCTTTCAAAAGCTGCCCCTAGTCAATGCTCCTCTCTTCTGTCCGATTGAGGGGGAGTGGAGAACAGCCAAAGTGGAGATGGGTGGACCCACTGGGACTTGTACAGAATTAGTGAGCAAGGACTGTTATCGCCATTGGAGAGATGGAAGAAACTGAGACACAGAGGTAGGCTCGCCTGGCGCCCACATCGCCCAGCAAATAAATATCGGCATCCAATTTTGTATCCAAGCCTGTTCTCCAAATGCCAACTATTTGCCGCGCTCAGCTGCTTAGAGAGAGCTTTCGCCTAGGTGGTCTCAGATGTCTCCGCAGCAGCCTGGGTGTGATGGCCGAAGGGAGCGAAGCGGGAGGCAGTGAGGAGAGGGGTGGGGGAAGGGGTAGGCAACTTTTATGGTACCCGTTGTGCAGAAGAAGAAACTGGGGCACTTTTCCTCTCTCTTTACACTACAACCTGCCTGTTTATGTTTGTGAAAAGTAAGATATTTTTTACAGCTTACTCCCTAAAGGGGCCAAGGCTCAGAGAGATGAAATGACTTGCCTCAAATTACAAGTTGGGGCCAAAATGTGGACCACGTCTCTCTGCCGCCTCTGTCAGGCTATTAACCAAAGTTGGGTGCCAGGCTGGCTGCCTCAGAATGATTTTGGAGAGCTTGTTAGAAATGCAGCTTCCTGAGCTCCACCTCCGGGGCATTCTGATTTGCTGGGACCGGGCTGGAGAGTGTGACTTATATTTTGAACCAGCGCTGTAGTTAATTCTGGGCAGTAGGGAGGTTTGTCAACCACTGTTCAAAACACTACATCTTGCTGGGGTAACAAGTGAAATATGGGCTTGCTGCCAATGCCTCTGTCCACAGCTTATCAGTCATGAAATCTAACCTCAGAGTAGAAGTTCTTACCTAGGTTCCTTCCTGAAGGACCAAAGAATTGTTGCCAAAAGAATTTGGACTTTGTATACTTATTTAGAGTCCCTATTTGTAAAAGGCGTCTGTGACCCAAAATGGTTAAGAAAACCCTCTGTACAATCTTTCTTGGTGACCTCTTCCTCCTTTAACTGTACTTAAGAAAGGAGTGTGAGAAATGAAACACAATTTGACCTAAACCTGAACCACAGCTCTCTACCGCTGATGTAGTGCTTTCATTTCCTGGCTCTACGACAGGTTGCTAGGTTGCCCTTCTGTGAGCTCTTGAGGGGACCTCTCCTTTGGTGGATTTGGCATCCCTGGCCTCAGAGAAGGAGCAACTCCATGGAAACGGCATGCAGGGCTGTCCTAGTGAATGGCCGTGAAGCCAGTGACTGGGAAACCTGCTCTCTTCCTCCTTCCCCACCCCCCACTGTGGTTCTTGGAGAGCAGGTCTCACTTCCCTTGCATGGACTGTGGCTCCGAGGTCTCTGTAGGACTTGCTCTTGACTCCTGGTGTACAGAAGTCAATGCACAGTCTCATGCCCTTCCATTGACGACGCTGGGTTTTTCAGCCTGCCAAAGTCCTTCGCCTGCTCCCTTTCTGCCTTATTTACCTCGGTACCTAGAGTTTCTTGGAGGATTCAATCCAGATTTGGAGCTGAAGCCCCTTCCATGTGGGGACTGTGACCTTTCTCTTGTGGATTTGACAGTGTGTGTGCGCATGGGGGTAGGATGTGATGGAGGTGGGAGAGACAGCGGTAGAGACAAGGCTTCTCATCCAATCTGGGGTGATGACTGGCAGCAGCTCTTGGAGTTACTACAGACTCATGCTTCTGCTCCCTGGCACCATGGTGTCTGACCCCGAGTCTCCGCACTCTTGTTCTGTGTTTAATGTGGTTTCTCACCAAATTAGGTGATCTACAGCTGGAGCTGGTGGGGGGTGGGATCAAACAGGACAAAGGATAGATCTTGAGAGCATCCACAGAAATAGTGAGAGGATGTGGATTATGTAAACGAGTCTGGGTTGGTCCATTAGGACAAAGTGAGGGGCTGAGAGGACTGAGCTGGCTCTGATCAGATTCAGAGCATCCCTGATCTCTGGCCTGCTCTGTGGGGGTGTGTTCCAATTCAGGGCTCTAATAAGACCACATTTTCCAATTTGAACAGAGAAACCTTAAACGTTTAAAAGTTAATAGATAAATAAAGCTTTCAGTTGAAACAGTTACAGCTGCCTTTTGGTTGCCTGCCTTCTCTGCCAGGAACTTTCCATTTGGTACCTCATTTTGGCTTCTCAGCCTCCCTGTTGAGATAGGCATTGTTATCCCATTTTGCAGGTAGGGAAACTGAATTTCAGGGCAGTGAAAAATGTGTCTAAGGCTGTACTTGCCAGAGGTGGCCCTGGGACACCAACCCAGGTTTGGGGCTGTAAAACCCCAAAGCCCATTAACTACTCTTCCCTGCTACCTTCCAAACGAACCATTTAAAATGCACTCTGTAGATGACCCAGTGCATTAGCCTGATAGCGGCCTTTCGAACAATGTAGTTGTATTCTTACCTTCATTCCTGGGATCTCATTTTTTTTTTAAAGAGGCATGTATTATTTAGTTATTTGCTTGTTTGTTTGTTTGTTTATACATGCACTGGGTACAGTCAGAAGCGCGGGAGGGTGAGAGAATTCACCAGATCCAGAGTGGGGAGCAGAGCAGGCAGAAGGACCGAAGTACACTGCTGAGGGGAGCAGCAGGAGGCAGGAGAGGTCTGTGCACCATGTGGGACCCTCCTCCGGTGGCAGGGGAGCAGCCGGGGATCGAACCGGCACTGCAGAGGCCGCGGGCAGCTTCGCAACCCAGCGCTCAACCGCTGCGCCACCAGGGAGGCCCAGGATCTCATTAATTTTAAATGCAACTAATAGAAGTGACAGAGCAACTGCTAAACAACTGATGGTCTTTTGTCTTATATGCGACCTTCATCACAATCATTTTATGGACAAGGATACTGAGGCTCAGACAAATAAAGGGACTTGGCCAAGGTCATAAAGCTAGGAAGTGGTAGGAGGGTTTTCAAACCCGGGACTGTCTGACTGCACAGCCTGTGTCTTTGCACTATAATGCACTGCAGTTGGGGAAACAAACATGGCCTCATTCTAGACAGGCGTCTCTCTGTCAGCACAGCTCTGTCTCCTTTCTGCATCCTATGTCCAGCCCCACTCACCACACATGCTCTTAGGCCTCTGTGCTTTAGGTTTCTCCTCAGCCCAAAATTCCTGCCCGCACTCCTCTACCTAACCAGAGTCTACTCATCCGTTAAGGATCAAGGCCGATGCACCTCCTCAGAGAAACATTATTTAAATGCATAATGAATAAAAATAAATCTTATTTATTTACTTTTTTATTTAAAGATTTATTTATTTATGCATACAAGAGCTAGGGTACAGGCCAGAGGTGCGGGTGTGTGTGAGAGGATTCACCAGAGACCGAGTGGGGAGCAGAACAGGCAGACTGACTGAAATACACTGCTGAGGGGAGCAGCAGGTGAGACAGGAGAGGTCTGCTGTGCCATGTGGGTAACTCCCTGGCTGGCCAGAAATAGAACTCATGCAGCAGAGGCTGCAGACAGCTTCACAGTGCTGTGTTTAACCCCTTGCACTACCAGGGAGACCCCAAATAAATCTTATTTGAAAAATAAATAAAATGAATGCAGCCCCCAAACTCACATTTGTACATATATGCATATGCATATACTCATACACGTACACATTTGTATAAAAGCATCATCAGCAGCACTTCTATAACAGTTCAATAGCATTTACATAGCTAGCAGTGCTAGGCACTGTTTTGAGGGCTTTTGTCCCAGGCGGATATAAATGGCTCACGACTTTCTGCTCTGACCTTATGAAGGCAGCCTTGATTTTGTCTTCCAGGATAAATTAACTCATTGTTGACCTGTCTCTCTTGCTAGATCCCCAAGCCCTCAATGGCAGCACCAAGTCCAATTCATCTCTTGCTCCACAGTGGTCAACCCACAGCCATGCAATGAAGGACCAATTCTTCTTTGTGAACTGACCAAAGGAAAGGCTAAGGGCTACCCTCAGTGAACTGGGTCCTGGGGTGCTCACACAGGCTGTCCATCTGGCCAGGAAAGTCTGGGATCCCCCGGACTCATTTACTAGGCTGTGAACATAAGAGGCACGTCACAGGGCACAGGAGGTAACTGCTCAGTGCCAAGTCTAGCCCATTCTGTGGTCTCTCCTTTGGCATTCATGTTCTGCAGCCAGACTGTCCAGGATTGTTCCAATGATACCTTTGCATTCACAGAAGAAAGGTCTTCCCTGCCTCCATGTGAACTTAGGATTCCTTCCGCCCTCCCTCTTCATCTGGCTCTGGTTAGCCTGAGAATGCCCCACAGGAGCACGAGCTCCTTGGAGACAGCGGATGAGGTCTGGAAGCACCTTCTTTAAAACAAAAAAAGATTTATTTATGCATACAAGAACTGGGGTACAGTCCAGAGGTGTGGGGGTGAGAGTATCACCAGAGACAGAGTGGGGAACAGAACAGGCAGACTGAAATACACTGCTGAGGGGAGCAGTGGGCGAGTCAGGAGAGGTCTGCTGCACCATGTGGTTTGCTCCCTGGCCGGGGATCAAACTCATGCTGCAGAGGCTGCAGACAGCTTCCTGGGTTGGGTCCTAACCCCTTTCGCCACCAGGGAGGCCCCGGGAAACACCTTTTTAAAAAAATACTTTTTATTGAAGCCACCATGCCATGCATGCACTACCATTTGATTGCATTTTATTGTATGAATCTTTGCAAAAACCTTTTGAGGGAGGTCTGTTGCCCCTACCTTGTAGCTGTAGAAATCAAGACTGAATGAAGTATCTTAACTTACCTAAGGTAACACAAATGGCAAGTGGTGGAGGCAGAATTCAATCTCAGATCTCTCTGCCCCCAAAGCTGGGCATCTTAATAGAAAAATACATGACAGAGAAGGGGAAAAGGAGCTCCTCACTCCTCCCCCCAAAATATAGGAAGAATAAGGTACTTAAGGTAAGGCATTTCTAAATTACTGTTCACCTTTAGTTTCAGAAAATGATGGGCAAAAATGGAAGGACTCTGGGGTGTGGTGGGAAAGCACAATTCCTCTATTAAAGTTTGACCCAAGTCCCCTCTACCATGTCAACTCCCTGTGACGTGCATGTTATGGAGATGCCCAGAGCATTCCACTCTGCTCATTTTTATACCTAAGATGGATGAGGTTATAAGAGGTCAGTGGATTTCTCAAGGCTACACAGGAAATTGATAACAGAACTGGCACTTTAACGTTGGTCTTCAAAATCCTAGCCGTTTTCTTTCTGCTGAGTCAGCCTGCCTTAAGTTAGTCCCTCAATACAAGTTTCTAGGCTATTCAGGAAAACGGGAGAGGGGAGAGGAAACGGGACATTAATATACTCTGAGGTAGAAGAAGGGACAAACACTGTCCTCATGGCCCATCCTTATTTAGGTGCAAGTCAAAGTTGGGGAAGAAGTCCTTTGGTAGGGGAACCATGGGACATTGGGGGCCTTGTGGCTGTGGAGGCCTGAGTGGAGCTGCCTCTTGCCTGGAGTTGGATCTGGAGAAACAGAGGGCCCAGAAGTACTAAAGAGGGAAGGCAAAGTGGCCTTCTGAGCCTTTGCCCCTGGCCAGGTCCCAGCTAGAGGTTCAGAGCAGAGGGGTCTCCACTCCCCGCCTGGCCAGGGGTGAAGGGAAGGAGAGCCAGACTGGGGAGGTTGATGCAGAGCACAGGAGGCTGAGCCTCCACTCCCCTCCACCAAGAGATGAGCCTGGCTCCAGGGGAGGGGGGGATGTAAGATCAAGTTGTGGGTCATGGGTGGAGCAGGAGCCAGTTGCCAGGGAGGAGCTGATAGGGGTGGTTCTGGAAGGAGAAGCACTTCAAGGCAGGCTCTGGGTGTGGCAGCCCAGGGGAGGCTGCAGTGGGCTTCTTGCAGTGCCTGGCTTCTGCTGTTCCCTGGGACCTCAGCCTGCAGCCCTCTGTCCCTAGCTGAGCAGGCCGTCAACTGCTCCCAGAACTAGAGGCCTCTCAAGCCCTCCCCTGGAACCACACAGCCCCGGTCCCATGGGAACCTCTGGGCCTGCAGCTTTGAGCAGGCTTCCTGTCAATGTGGATGGCAGTAGCCTGCCTGGTCATTGTGCCTCTTCCCCTGCTTTCCTTCCCCTCAGCAAACAGCTCTGTGCTTCCTCTCCTGGTCCCACCATCTCCCCCTGAAGCGCACGCCCTGTCCTCAACCCAGGGGAGCCCCAATTTCTTTCCCAGCAAACTCCCTGTTTGTCAGACGTGCAGTGAGCACTCATTTCTTCTTGATCCCATATTTCCTTTATGCACCCTACTTGCCCTGTTACTTCTCCTATGACCCCACCTGGAGTGGAAGCAATAGTTTTCAGTTCTTGTACTGCCTCTTCCTTCTCATGCAGTTGTTCTAAGCCAGGGGCTATTTTCCCCCTCTCTGGGGACATATGGCAGTGTCCGGAGATATTTTTGGTTATTATAGTTGGGTAGGTGACAACTGGCGCCTCTGGCATCCAGTGAGTACAGAGGCCAAGGTGCAGCTGAACATCCTATGAGACGCAGGCCAGGTGTCAACCACAAAGAATGATCTGGCCCTGCTCGACTTTACAGCTACAGGTCTCTGAGGTTAGACTTGGAAATTGCCAGGTGCCGAGCGTTTTGGTACTGAACAGCTATTCTTTCTATTCCTCAGCTGGGAGAGGGAGCGGGGTGTTGCCATGAAACATCCATGACATCATCAGGAATCTGCAGAAAGGTGGAAGAGGGAGAGTCCATGCTCCCCAGCTTCCTAAGAGTATTGGATTACCACTCTGGAATGCCTTGCTGCTTTTCCAAGATAGTACTGCTGCTTGGAGAGACAATAGCAGCCTATTATTCTAGCAGTATCTCGAATGCAAAATGCCGTGTGGTGTGGTGAGAGTTAAAGGCAATAGGTTTTAGAGCTGCCTTCCTTGATTTCACTTTTAAACTTTCTTAGAATATCGGAAAAGTTGCTGTGTCAGCAAAACACTAGCGTGATGACTCAGTCCAGAAAAACCAACTGTCTTGCTTTGAATGTTATTTAATGAATTCTTCCTTAGGAGTGTGACTCTTTCTGAGAAACCAGCTGAGTCGCTTGTTTCCCTGGAGTTCTGATCTTGGGACTCTGTTTCTAAGTAAGAAATGACAATGCTCACAAGGAGATCTAATGGTCTGACCTCTTTGTCCTCCTCTTGTCAGTTGTCTTCAGCATGGAGGAACAGAACCCCCCTCCTGGGAAGGAGCTTCAGCACAGGACACGAGCAGAGGCCTCAGGAAAGAGTAGCTGGCACACCCAAGCCTATGCCCTCGGAGCCGTCTCCAACTTCATGTCTACTGTCCTGACCTTTCCTATCTATAAGGTTGTGTTCCGGCAACAGATCCATGCTGTCGCGGTGTCAGAGGCTGTGAGACAGCTTTGTCGTGAAGGCCCTCAATACTTCTTCCGGGGAATCTACCCGCCACTTCTCTCCAAGACACTGCAAGGGACTCTACTGTTTGGGACTTACGATAGCCTGCTGTGCTTTCTCTCCCCAGTTGGACCACACTCCCTCGGACACCGCTGGGCTGCAGGGCTCATGTCTGGTGTGGTGGAGGCTGTGATGCTCAGCCCTTTTGAGAGGGTGCAAAATGTGCTCCAGGATGGCCGCAAACAAGCTCGCTTCCCCAGCACGTTCAGCATTCTCAAGGAATTCAATTCCTATGGGCTTTGGGGGCGGCTGTCGCTGGGCTACTATCGTGGGTTCTGGCCTGTCCTTGTCAGGAACAGCCTGGGGAGTGCTCTCTATTTCTCCTTCAAGGACCCCATCCAAGATGGCTTGGCAAAGCAAGGCCTGCCTCATTGGGTCCCTGCCTTGGCATCTGGGGTTGTCAATGGATCGATCACCTGCTTAGTTCTGTATCCTTTGATTGTGCTCGTTGCCAATATGCAGTCCCATGTTGGCTGGCAGAGTATGCCAAGCCTGTGGGCCTCAGTCCAGGACGTGTGGGACACTCGGGGTCGAAAAGTATTCCTGATCTACCGCGGTGGCTCCCTGGTCATCCTGAGATCCAGCGTGACTTGGGGCATCACTACTGCTATCCATGACTTCCTGCAGAGGAGGTCCCATTCCAGAAAAGAGTGGAAAGACTAGCTGCAGGAAGTATGGTTGTGGCCACTTTGTTCTTTTAAGCCTTCCTAGGTTGGTCTAAATAGCTTACTTCTTTGGCTCATCCCTTAGCATCTCTGAACTGTCATTGACGGGAGAAGCTCCTAACCACCAGTCAGAAAGAGAAAACCACCCCTGTCTGTCCACAACTTCAACAGCCTCAGACCCAGGAAGTCTTTAAAGAACTTAGAACCCAGCTCAAATGTTATTTCTTGCAGAAATTCTTTGGCAATAAGAGGAAGCCTGAAAAATGACCTTGATTAGGCACCGTGAGTTCTGGGATCCCTCCAGTTGTCCTCCAGCCCCAACTAAGTGAAAGCCCACGAAGTCCGGTTTCAAAGACCCAAGCTGGACTTGGTTGGGGAGTCCACAGAACTTCAACAATAGCTACGTTTCCATAACATTGTTTACTACCGCTACCACTACCCCTACTCTCACCTGTCAAGGCCACATGGGTCCTAGTTTTAGGGTGGCAGTGGTGGCTGGACATCTTCAAGTAGATTTGCCTCAACTGATGTGGTGCTGCAAGAGCTGGTGGGGCTGGAATTGGGAGTGGGAAGAGGTGTGGTCCCTGGATGGATAGAAAGAATAGACTTCGAGGAAAGATTTAGTTGCATGCAGAATAGAAAAATTACTATAGGTTGCTTGGTGGTATCTGCTGGGACGTTTTTGATAGCAAGGCAATAACATTGCCTAGAAACCACTTGGGTTTCCCTAAGAAACCTGGTAGTGATTTGATCATATCTCTTCACAAGTAATTGCCTATTTTATTGCTGTGGATAAATATAGTTCCTGTGACATAAATTAAAGATCAGAAATCCTACCCTGTCATTCAGAGCCATGCAGTGTGTTCCCAATGCCCTGCAGCATTTCATCATACCTTTCCCACTTACACAGATCCCATGCATTAACCAAACTGGACTGTTGCCTCCCCAGACACATCTCGAACTTTTCCATTGCCCTGTTTTGTTTGGTCCACACTACTCTCTCCAGCTGCATATGCCAGTCTGCCAAAATCCTTCTCGTTCCTCAAAGCCCAACTCAGATGCCACCTTCTCTATGCAGCCTCTTCAGATATCCTACAACTGAATGTGACATTAGTTCCTTGTGATGCCCCCTCCTTCCACACTTCATACATGATACTGATTCCATTATGATATTATGTGGGCCTGTATTCTTGGTGTGCTTCAAAGCCTATTAGACTACAAACTTGAAAGCAGGGATTCTTGTCTGCATTTTGAAATTTTCCATTGTGCCTAGGTGCTCAATAATGTTGGCTGAATTGATTATCAAGCTGTGATATGGTCTTTATCCTCAGGGTGCTGTCCCTTATACATGAAGATAATGTTGTTATTGGCTCACTGTCAACAAGACACATGCCTTTGGGATTTATTTTGTTTTCTTTTATTAGTGAATTTAGTTTGTGCTAATGATAATGATGCTGCTGCTGATAATAACAATAATAAAAAATGACTTTCAACTGGAACATGTGATTAGTTTTATTATTGGATGTTTACTTTTAGCAACGCTGTAAGAACTGAAATTTCACAAACAGACACACATTGTAAAATTGACCCATTCCTTTCAACTCTGGAATTTTGAGGATTTCCAAAATGGCATACTTTGCAGTTTTCCCCTCCTAGAATGTACCATGATAATGACCTCTACTTGGACCTCTTTGCCAAGCCAGATATGTCATTTACAATGAATCATTTGATCACTGATCTTAGTGAGAATTCCTCACTGAATAGGACAAAAATTAAAGATGCAATTCTAGGAGGTAATAAGATCAGAGAGCATTTGCCAGCAAGGTCAACAGAAAATGACTGGTCCAGAAGAACTACAGATGAGTTCCCCCATCTGATCTCTGTGCAGGTTTGGATAGGTTGGGACAGTACTATGCTTGTGGTGTCAGGGACAGGGAAAACAAAATCTGCACAAGGAAAGGAGAAATAGACCAGCAGTTAGTTATATTTCCAAGGGTAACTCAGAAGGAAGAAAAGATTTACAAAAATTCATAACTGGTTTACAGTTTTGCTTTTATAGCTGAAAAGAAGGGGACAACCACCATGCACCCCTGCGTTTTTTTTAAAGATTTATTTATGCATACGAGAACTGGGGTACAGGCCAGAGGTGCGGGGGGTGAGAGGACTCACCAGAGACAGAGTGAGGAACAGGCAGGCGGATTGACCGAAGTACACTGCTGAGGGGAGCAGCAGGCGAGTCAAGAGAGGTCTGCTGCACCATGTGGGCAGCCCCCTGGCCAGCCGGGGATCGAACTCGTGCTGCAGTGGCCAAGCATAACCCCATAGGCTGCCTCTCAACCCCTTGCGCCACCCCCACTTTTTTAATTTCCAAGTACTCTGTTCATTTCCACTTATATCACTGCCAGTTCCTGTCCCTTTATTTTACCTGAAACTTCAGAAATAATTTTAGACTTAAAGGAAAGTTGCCAGCATGAGCAAAGTGTAACAAACACCCATATACCTTTCAGCCCAACCCACCTATTGTTAACATTTTACCTCATATTCTTTGTTATTTGAACACTAGTTCTCTATGCACACATTGTTTCCCGGACTATCCAAGAGTTGCAATTTTCATATTTCTAGTTTCAATATTTGAAGATTTAAAATCTTTGTAAATACAGTTTTATCTCTATGACAATGACACGGTTATAAAATATCAGAAAATGAAACCACATGGCACATTTTAAAGCTACATTGGTTAATTGCTTAACTATGTTTGCCTTTATAGAGGAAAATTTACATTATGTATGTAATACTTGAAGCTATGCGATTATATTATAAACATGGACTTATAGCTAAAGCATGTTTAATTCAAATAATTTATTTTTACAAATTGCTTCATATAAAATCATAGCAAAATTATAAAATTATATAAACTTTTTGACTTTTTTCATCTAAATCTTCTGAGTAAAGTTAAGTGAGCATTGTTAAATTTTTCCAGTAATTTTAAATATCAGTAGTTTTGTGATATAATGTACTTACATTTTCTCAATTTTAAAAAATGGCACTTTGACTTGAGATCAATAAAATAAGGATGTAATAGATACCGACCTGTTTAAAACTTATAAAATGCATAATTTAACAATAAAAATTTGAAAAAATAAAATTCCAGTGTGAACCCTGTATATTTTTATGTAAACATAATCTACTTCAGCTTTTTTAAGCTCAAAATGAGTAAAAATTTGAACCATTATCACTGTTGTTATAATTATATAGTTTGTTAAGACCATTTTGCTTATAAGATTCATTTTTAAACATTACATAGCATAATTTAACTACATGTTTGGGATGACAGCATAAGGCATGCTATAATAAAGTAAATTAATTAACATTATATATAAGAGAAAAATCATTAAGTCAGGAAAAAAGTGAAGTGTGTAGAAAAAGGTCAGAAAAAAACATTTTATTTCCTTGTTCTGTTCACTTTCCAACATCTTTTTCTTTTATACTATCTTCCTTTCCTTCAGATCTTCAGTACCTTCTCTGCCATACTCTCTTTTTTTAAGATTTATTTTATTTATTCATACAAGAACTGGGGTGCAGACCAGAAGTGAGGGTGGTGGTGAGAGGATTCACCAGAGATGGAGTGGGGAGCAGAACAGGCAGATGGACTGAAATACACTGCTGAGGGGAGCAGTGGGCGAGACAGGAGAGGTCGGTGCCCTCTGGGTCAGCTCCTTGGCTGGGGATCATACTCATGCCACAGTGGGCAGTGGCTGGCAATAAATAGCTTGATAGCGCAAGACTTAACCAGGGAGGCCCACTTCTCTGCCATGCTCAATCCCAGTTGGTGAGCTTGCTTCCTATTTCATTAGGAAAAGAAAATTCAGAAAAGAACTGCCACTTAAGAGACTATCCCTCATGGAATGGTCACACAGGCCATGAAATACAAAACCTTGATAACACCCACCCCCTTCCCTTGCCCCCCAGGTCACCGAATGATGACATTCATTCACTCATCCTAGAGGGTAGCCCCCTCTCTTGAATATTGTGATATCTGGCCTCTCTGGTGGCATAAGGGGTTAAGCAGCTCACTATGAAGCAATCTGCAGCCTCTGCAGCACGAGTTCGATCCCCGGCCGGCCAGGGAGAAACCCACATGGCACAGTAGACCTCTTCTGTCTCGCCCACGCTCCCCTCAGCAGTGTGTTTCAGTTAGTCTGCCTGTTCTGTTCCCCACTCTGTCTCTGGTGAATCCTCTCACCTGCCCCCGCCCCTGTACCTCTGGCCTGTACCTCAGTTCTTGTATGCATAAGTAAATAAATCTTTAAAAAAGTATTGTGATATCATCTTTTATTTATTTATATATTTGAAAGTATCATTTTTACAGTGGTAACAATGGTTTACAAGACTGTATATTTGGGGTATAAATTCATACCCCTTCAGATGTGTGTTACCACACCACACACACCACCAGGGCTCCCACAATCCTCATCACAGTCCATTGGATTTCTCCTCTCTTTGCTCCACTCGCCCTTCACCCTCTGATAGACTCAATTCCTCAGTCTAATTTCTAAGGTTTGCTTTGGCTTAGTTTTGTATGTTTCTTTGTCTCATTTCTTTATAATCTACTTATTAATGAAATCATTCGGTATTTGTCTTTCTCCTTTTGATTTACTTCACTCAGCATAAAGTGATATAGTTTCTTTAGAGGTTTAGTTTCCATATAAGCATCCTTAACTAACAGTTTTGATTTAAAAATATTTGAAATGTATATACTTTATGTATTCAGTCCCGTGACTATTTCTTTTCACTCAATATTATTTGAGGTATTCAGCCATGTTGAGGTGGCTGTAGTTATTTCATTTCAAAAAACTGTGATAAATTTACTTTAAAAAGTCCTTGCTTTTATGTTCACAACAAATTTGAGATGAAGGTACAGAGAGTTCCTATATACTCCCTGCTCCCTGTTCCCACACAGGCACAGCCTCCCTCAGTTGCCCCAGTCAGAGTGGTACATTTGTTACAACTGATGAACCCACAATGATACATCTTTATCATCCAAAGTCCATAGTACAACTTAGGGTTCACTTTTACTGGTATATATTCTGTGGGTTTGGACAAATGTAGCACAGAAAGTAATTTCACTGCCCCCCAAATCCTCAGTGCTCCACCTATTCACCCCACCCAATCTCTGGCAAGTACTGAGTTTTTACTATCTATATAGGTTTGCCTTTTCCAGAATGTCATATAGCTGTAATCATACAGTGTGTAGCCTTTTCAGATTGATTTTTCTCACTGGGTATTGTGCATTTGTTTCTGCCATGTCTTTTCATGGCTTAATAACTCATTTCTTTGTATCTGTGAATAATATTCCATTGTTTCAATGTATCACTGTTTATATTCCTCATGGTTTATTTCTGTGTGCAGGTTTTAATGTGGACGTGATTTCAGCTTCTTTGAATAAATATGAAGGAGCATAGTTGCCGAATTGTACGGTAAACATATGTTCAATTTTGTAGGAAATTGCTAAATTTTCTTCATAAGTGGCTTTAGTGTTCCCACCAGCAATGAATGAGAGTCCCTTCTGCGCTGCACCCTTGCCAGCCTTTGTCGGTGTCAGTGTTTTGGGCCTTCTAATAGGTACATAGCACTTCCTCATCGTTGCTTGGTTGGTTCATTTTCACTGTTGCATGGACCACTGTGTGACTCTATCACCATCAACAGTGTTAATTTTGAGGTACATCCTGGTGTTCCCAGTATTTCACTATTTGAAGTCTGTAATGAACATTCTTGGCAGTGTATCTATCCAAAGGCAGGTGTCGCCAGGATATTTACCTGAAAGTGGAATTGTTGGCTTATAGGGTTATAAACTTCAACATTCAACGTTCAATGTTACTATTGAATAGATTGTGTCTAACTTTTCTTAATACTAACTTAATTGCCGGTACTAATTTACATCATTACTAGCAGGTTTACTAATTCCCATTGCTCCACCTGCTGGCCAGCATAAATATGATCAGACTTTTAATTAATTTTAATATTTTTTTAATCTAATGGAAGTTTTCTTTTTTTCCTCACTCAAAGTCTGATGGGCAGACAGGAACCAGTAGAAGGGACAGGATGGCGTTCAGGACACTACTCCACCAAGGAATTCAGTTTGATGGAAATTCTGTCATTCTTTAGACTTCCAGGATTGTCAGTAGACTCATTTTCTGATAGTCACAATGGGAGAGTAAACAAAAATAATGACTGAGATACTAATCTTGATGTTTCTCAAAGTTTTATAATATTATTCATAGTGTCTAACATATCTTTTCCTGGATTTTTATTACTTGCTTAATTCTTTAAAAATGATAAGAATAAAGAGGATTCTCAGAATAGGATTATAGTAGGTTTCTTATAGGTTTTGTTTTAAGAGAGAGTATGAGAAATTGAGGCTGAAGGAATCAGGTTATATGTGTTGACCCTCATATTAACATGCCCATATATGATATATTTATTAATGTAATATAACACTATGTGCAAAGATTCCAATAATTCGGGGCCTCCCTGGTGGCACAAGGAGTTAAGCACAGCACTGTGAAGCTATCTGC